CAGTACAAGTACAGTACAGTATAAGTACAGTACAGTATAGTACAGTACAGTACAGTATAGTATAGTATAGTACAGTACAGTACAGTACAGTACAGTATAATTACAGTACAGTACAGTATAGTACAGTATAGTACAGTACAGTACAATTACAGTATAATCTACAGTACAATTACAGTACAGTATATTATAATTACAGTATAGTATAGTACAATTACAGTACAGTACAGTACAGTATAGTATAATTATCAGTATAATTACAGTACAGTACAGTACAGTACAGTATAGTATAGTATAATTACAGTACAGTACAGTAATTACAGTATAACAGTACAATTTAGGTATAACAGATACAATTGTATAGTACAGTACAGTACAGTACAGTACTGTACAGTACAGTACAGTACAGTACAGTACAGTATAATTACAGTACAGTACAGTATAGTATGTCCATCATGTGTTGGGATTCACTCATGCAGTAACCAGCAAATTAATGATGGGGATCACTGTTCACACACACAGTATATATATTGGTCCATACAACAGGCGGACTTATAATCAACGACCTCACCGGCCAGCCTAGACCTTATGAGTGTGACCAGGGAACCCTTGTGTTAAACTTTTTAATTTGTAAACAAATAATAATGAAATAATGATAATTATTATGAGTAATGATCCACATAATTAAGTTGGTGGTTACTGCAACAGTTCACAAGGAGACCTTGAATAAAACCCGAGACGCAACACTGGTGGGCCGCTTCTCACATTATCTAAACTGGAAAAGATGTGTTTTGGTGATAACAACTGTACACGGGGATAAGGACAGTTATGGGTCACCTAATAATAATAATAATAATAATTAATAATTAACGGTTTATTGAAAGAGCTTGGCAGCCAGAAGGCTGAAAATATACAGTTACACCTACAGCACCGTGCCATGGCACTGTGTTACCAGATAAGTTACGAGGCAGTAAGATCCGGTATGATGTTAGGTCAGGATGTGAGTCTGTTAAGGTCGCATAAAATATGCCACACCGTCACCAAGGCGCCGCCCCCATAATGCCTTGTTGGCGCTCTTATCGCGAAATTGCTACTATAGTGCGACTTTTCTCAGAAAAGATGCCCCGCCCCCTACTCAAGAGTTACAGCTGATTGGCTGTTACAAATCTGTTCGATTTCGTCAACTGAGTTTATTCCTAGTCGTTGGGATGAACGTTTCTGACGAGAAAGATATTTAGCTAAATTATATAAAGATACATACATTCATTATTTCAAACAGGAGCAAGTAGGAAGTTTATCAGAAATATTATACATGAATTAACTGTTAAACTCTCGTAACAAATTCACGCTTTCGGAGGACGCATTTAATATATACCTATTTTTACCCACAATAAGTCATACTAAGACAAATTACGTATCAGTAAAACTACATTATGCAAAAACAACATTTAAAAAAATCAGAATCACACGACCGTCAGCAGAGGCGGGAAATATATGAAGTTGTTCGCAGTCATACTTCCCGCCTCCAGCGCCCCCCACTGTACGTCACTCTAGCGCCCCCACCGTGTACGTCTCTAGCGCCCCCACCGTGTACGTCTCTAGCGCCCCCCACCGTGTACCGTCACTCTAGCGCCCCCACCGTACGTCACTCTAGCGCCCCCACCGTGTACGTCACTCTAGCGCCCCCACCGTGTACGTCACCTAGCGCCCCCACCGTGTACGTTGCTCTAGCGCCCCACCGTGTACGTCGCTCTAGCGCCCCACCGTACGTCTCTCTCTAGCGCCCCCACCGTGTACGCTCACCTAGCGCCTCACTGTACGTCGCTCTAGCGCCCCCACCGTACGCGTCACCAGCGCCCCACCGGTACGTCACAGCGCCCCCACCGTGTACGTCACTTCAGCGCCCCACCGCACGTCGCCTAGCGCCCCCACCGTGACGTCGCCAGCGCCCCACCGTGCACGTCACTCTAGCGCCCCACCGTGTACGTCGCCCAGCGCTCCACCGTGTACGTCACTCTAGCGCCCCCACCGTGTACGTCACCTAGCGCCCACCGTGTACGTCACTCTAGCGCCCCCACCGTGTACGTCGTCTAGCGCCCCCACCGTGTACGTCACTCTAGCGCCCCACCGTGTACGTCTCTAGCGCCCCCCACCGTGTACGTCGCTCTAGCGCCCCCACCGTGTACGTCGCTCTAGCGCCCCACAGAGGCCGGAGATCACAGCCCCCTGACCATTGACGTTACATACTGCAGTACGCGGTAGGTTGAGGCCCAGACGACGACTTACTCACCTCATTAAGTGACAAAGGATGAGATATAACAACACTATGACTAATAGTGAGAGTCATGGCATCCTTCCCAGGAATAACTATCTAAAAAAAACACTAGAATTATCACCAGTGGTTCCCAGAGTGACAGATATGTGATGAAAGAGTGTTGGGCCTTGACACACACACACACACACACACACACACACACACACACACACACACACACACACACACACACACACAGCAGAGCCCCTGACACACACACACACACACACACACAGCAGAGCCCCTGACACATACAAGGAACTAAAACCCTGACGGATAGAAGACAGTCCTTAACTACCCTGAAGTGAACAACCCTATCAAACAGAGCAAACTCTCACTTAACCTGACGTGACAAGTCGGTCAGAGAGAGAGAGAGAGAGAGAGAGAGAGAGAGAGAGAGAGAGAGAGAGGACCGTTGACGCCCTCTTGCGGTAACCAAGGACCCGAAGCCTGACCCGGGAGCCTAACCTTCACCCTGACCCACACCTTACCTATTGTGGCGCGAGTCTTCCTACTGTACTATCACCCCCGAGGTAACCCACTGTCAAGCCCACCACGATGATGATGATGGTGATGATGATGGTGATGATGTTGATGATGATGAGGTTGAAGATGATTGATGATGATAATGATGATGGATCAACACCTGACTGATCCAAAGTAAACGCGATAAAAACACCTCACCCCCCTTCCTTCTACACCACAGTCACCCACATCCTGCTAAATGACTCCAAACCTATTAAACCTAGCCTAACCTAACCTAACCTAACCTAACCTAGCTTAACCCAACCTAACCCAACCCAACCTAACCTAACTCAAAACCTAAATGCAAAAGCCAGAGTAAACATGAGTAGATTTTATAACATATAGAATAAGCTGACCTGTAGTACACTATTGGATAAGCTGACCTGTAGTACACTATTGGATAAGCTGACCTGTAGTACACTATTGTATAAGTTGACCTGTAGTACACTATTGGATAAGATAAGCTGACCTGTAGCACACTATTGTAGAAGCTGACCTGTAGCACACTATTGTATAAGCTGACCTGTAGCACACTATTGTATAAGCTGACCTGTAGCACACTATTGTATAAGCTGACCTGTAGCACAATATTGTATAAGCTGAGCTGTAGCACACTATTGTATAAGCTGACCTGTAGCACACTATTGTATAAGCTGACCTGTAGCACATTATTGTATAAGCTGAGCTGTAGCACACTATTGTATAAGCTGACTGTAGCAAACTATTGTATAAGCTGACCGTAGCACACTATTGTATAAGCTGACCCAGCACACTATTGTATAAGCGACCTGTAGCACACTATTGTATAAGCTGACCTGTAGCACACTATTGTATAAGCTGACTGTAGCACACTATTGTATAAGCTGACCTGTAGCACACTATTGTATAAGCTGACCTGTAGCACACTATTGTATAAGCTGACCTGTAGCACAGTATTGTATAAGATAAACCTTGAATTAATTATATAAACCACTATACCAATTAATCTTCTACAGAAGTAAATTAGTTATGATTAATAAAAACAAAATATATATTAATATATTTCATTGCCTTCACCACCAGCAGGACCTCGTGAAGAAATAATAAATAAAATACATCACAAAATTACTCAGTGACCAATATTAATATAATGGATGATTCTGGGGAGTTTAAGCAACATAGAGTTTAGTGACACGAGACAAGGCACGTGTTGCCTCATTGACGGCATGTTATATGTGCTCGAGGGAAGTACAGGGGGCCACTGGAAAACCCGCCTTTCACACACACACACACACACCCCCGAGGACGAGTTACTACACCACGTGAACAACACACCACCTGGTGTCTCCATGACCACGTGAGGTCCTTCATATCAACACCCGAGGACGAGTTACTACACCACGTGAACACCTCACCACCTGGTGTCTCCATGACCAGCCCAGGCCCGGGCCATCAACTGTAAACTATAATAATTTGTATGTTCAATCATTGTTCCTTCTCCTTTCAGTATAAAGCTTTTGTTAAACGACCCACCCACCCCATGTCTTTGGATGTAATCAGTCATTTTTGTCCAATGTATATTAGCCTTCGGGCTGCCGACTTTTTCAATGAACCGTTAATTATACATATATATTATACATACACACACACACACACACACACACACACACATATTCTGTAGTCATGGAAAGTCGAATAAAGATGTTTTATATAAGTAATTACAATCATCACAAATGTCTTTCACCGTCTCCTCTTCATACACACACACCCATTAACTTCACCACCAGAGTAAGAGAGATAAAAGCAATATCTGGTAACTTTATCTACACTTAATTCATTACTATAGACAAAGTTAGTGCGACTCCCAGGACGGTACAGGTCCACACAGGGTTTATTACTGTACACTTCAACCCATTATGTAGATACACTTAGCACAACATGGCTGCCACGTTTCATAAGGCTTGTTTAAACTATTTTCTTGTTTCAACCTTGTTTTTTAACCCATGTCACCACATTCTGGGTTAACACTGAGGTGGTAACACTGCAGGTAAACTGTTCACATCAGCACAGTAATTTACAATTTTCCCGAAAATAAACAAGTAAAATATTTTCAACATCACACGTAAATATCTCGGTGTATTAATAAGTAGCCGCCAGGACGACCAACAAATGCATAGAGCTTCACGGGCAACACAACAGTAGCGTGGAGGTGAGGTGTGAGTGCAGTACCACTCACTCCACGCGGCGCAGCGCGTCAACTGACTGCTGGTGGAAGCCGCCCGCACACCACCACGCCCCCTCGCACCAGCACCGCCTCTTTCGCCAAGCCCTCAACTATTACCACCGGAAACATCCACACATGCATCACCCTTGTTTAAAATATACTTGACGCATTACACTTTTTTGTATTTAATAAAGAAAATAATGAGACGTGTCCATTTAAAGCGTCGTAAGTAACATCTATTTCTCTTAACAATGTTTTAACCCGATTGACCAACAGCTGATGATACACTACATCACCGAAGTTAATTAGGTGAAAAGATCTGGCAGTGTGTAAGTCAATCCGTTACTCGGAAGTGGTATTCCAGGAGCTGGCAGACGCAGCTTAATGCACTGAATCTGTTTACAAAATTTCCTTCGTTAACCAATAAACTTTTTTTTTAATCTTAAAGTTAATTATTTTGTGGTGGTCAGGTCAGGTGAGCAGTGTGTCTCCCACAGCATAAGTAACATATTGTATATATCCAACAAACTCGGAGATGTGGGTCAAATGGTCATATTCCTGAGAGACAAAGTGTGTGTCCTCGTGCGGGGTGTATGTACTAGTGTGTGTCCTCGTGTGGGGTGTATGTACTAGTGTGTGTCCTCGTGTGGGTGTATGTACTAGTGTGTGTCCTCGTGCGGGGTGTATGTACTAGTGGGTGTCCCTCGTGTGGGGTTGTACTAGTATGTGTCCTCGTGGGTGTATACCATAGTGTGTCCTCGTGGTGTATGTACTAGTGTGTGTCCTCGTGTGGGTGTATGTACTAGTGTGTGTCCTCGTGTGTGTATGTACTAGTGTGTCCTCGTGTAATGTACTAGTGTGTGTCCTCGTGCGGGGTGTATGTACTAGTGTGTGTCCTCGTGTGGGGTGTATGTACTAGTGTGTGTCCTCGTGTGGGGTGTATGTACTTGTGTGTGTCCTCGTGTGGGGTGTATGTACTATAGTGTGTCCTCGTGTGGGGTGTATGTACTAGTGTGTGTCCTCGTGTGGGGTGTATGTACTAGTGTGTGTCCTCGTGTGGGGTGTATGTACTAGTATGTGTCCTCGTGTGGGGTGTATGTACTAGTATGTGTCCTCGTGTGGGGTGTATGTACTATAGTGTGTCCTCGTGTGGGGTGTATGTACTATAGTGTGTCCTCGTGTGGGGTGTATGTACTAGTGCTCTGGGAACTTCACGTACCGTACCTTCTTAAAAACTTCACTTCGGTCAGGCGTGTACATAAGAACATAAAAACATAAGAATGGAGGAAACTGCAGCGGGCCTATTGGCCCATACTGGGCAGTCCCGTTTACACCCAACCCCTATTGCTCATATAAGCATCCAACCTATGTTTGAAGCTATCCAGCGTATTCGAGTTAATGATGATATTTAGTAACTTGTTCCATTCATCCACTACTCTGTTTCCAAACCAGTGTTTACCAATTTCACGCCTAAATCTAAATTTGTCTAATTAAAAACCATTATTACGAGTTCGCTCCTGGTTGGATAGTTTGAGTACCTTTGTAATGTCCCCTTTGTTTAGCCCTGCCTTCCACTTATACACCTCTATCATGTCGCCCCTCACTCTACGTCTCTCGAGGGAGTGCAAATTAAGATGCTTTAACCTGTCTCTGTACTCAAGGTTCCTAATGCCCGGGATTAGTCTTGTCATTCTCCTCTGGATTCTTTCCAAGGATTCTATATCCATTCTGTAATACGGTGACCAGAACTGAACTGCGTAATCCAGGTGAGATCTCACAAGCGCAAGATATAATCTTAAGATGACCTCGCTAGTCTTGTAACTAACACTCCTTGTATGAACACAAGTACTTTATTAGCCTTGTTACGAGCAAAAACACATTGCTAACTTGGCTTAAGATTCCTACTTATCATTACTCCTAAATCTCTCTCGCAGTCGGATTTCTCAATGGCATCGTTGTTCATCTGGTAACTGGTTTCCCTGTTTACATCTCCTATACTGAGTACTTTACATTTGTCCACACTGAATTTCATCTGCCATTTTTCAGACCATTCGAAAATTTTTTTTAGATCTTCCTGTAGTTTTGTGGAGTCCTCGTCAGATTGAATTACACGTCCTATTTTAGTGTCATCAACAAATTTACTTATGTTGCTGTCTACGCCGATATCTATGTCGTTTATGTATATAATAAATAGTAATGGTCCAAATACTGAGCCTTGGGGTACCCCACTAGTGACGTTGCTCCAATGGGATTTAGTGCCGTTAATGCTCACTCGCTGTTTCCTGTCCTGTAACCACGCCCTAATCCATTTTAGAAAATTACCTTTAATGCTATGTGCTTCTACCTTTCTTATTAGTCTTTCGTGGGGGACTCTGTCGAAGGCCTTGTCCACCGATTCGAAAACTGATGAAAAGAATGTTAATAGATTAGTTAGACATGAACGCCCGCTTGTGAAGCCATGCTGGGAATCATTGATCAATTTGTGCTTCTCCAGATGATTTCGAATAGAGTATGAAATGATTGATTCCAGTAATTTGCTTTCAATTGATGTTAGACTGATTGGACGATAGTTAGAGGATAGTGATCTATCCCCCTTCTTGAAAATCGTTATAACATTCGCTATCCTCCAGGATTCTAGTACTACACCTGTTTTTAAGGACATGTTAAACAACTTTGCTAAGGGCATACAAAGCTCTTCCTTACATTCCTTTAATACTCTGGCAAATATCTCATCGGGACCAGGCGACTTATTAGGCTTTAGTTTGTCTATTTGCTTACTAACATCGTTACTAGTCACTACTATCTCGCTTAATTTGTTTTCTTCACTATCTCTGAATAGAGTCGGTGCCTCGGGTATCATGTTTAAATTTTCGGTGGTGAAAACTGTTGAAAAATATTTATTCACATTATTGCTCATTTCTCCGTCGTTATCAGTGAGCTCGCCGGTATCTAACTGTATAGGCCCAATTTTATGTCGTGTTTTAGTTTGACATTTGATAGAATCCCTTGGGGTTTGTCTTCGCCTCCCTTGCTATCCTCAGCTCATTATTCCTCTTTGCTTTCTTTATCTCGGTCTTAACCCTACTCGCCAATACCTTACAATAATCCCGGAGGTAAATTTCACCACGATTTATCCTCCTACCTATAGCCTTCCTTTGACCAATAATGTTCTTTAAATAATTATTTATCCATTTAGGGTTATTGTTGTTTGATCTGAGTTTTTTGTATGGTATGTTCTGCCTTTGTGCATTAAGTAATTCATTATTTAATTTGTCGTGGAACTCGGCAACCTCAGATCTCGTTATCAGGTCGGTTTCAATCGTCAGGTCCAAGTAGTTCACCCCCAAGTGTGATACCCCTTCTCTCAACTGCCTCTTCAAACTATCAAAGTTTGCCCTTCTGAAATCTGGGACTTTTGTGGAATTTTCCTTACGGATGCCCTGAAAATCTAACTGGAATCTTATTTCTCTGTGATCGCTGTTTGCAAGTTCGTTCCCTACCTCGACATTACTATTGAGGTTTTCTCTGTTCGACAGAACTGATTCGAGTATATTATTACCCCGGGTGGGTTTGGTTATATGTTGACTTAGGAAACAGTCCTGGATTGTTTCAAGAAAATCCTATGATTCTGAGTTACCCGTAAGGTCAGTCCAATCTATTTGGCCAAGGTTAAAGTCGCCTACTATACAGACTTTGTTGTGTATGGAAGCCCTGCGCATTTCATCCCAGATAAGTCGCTCATTAACTCTATCAAGATTGGGAGGTCTATATATTACTCCTGTGATTAATTTTTCCCTACCGTCGCTTAATTCTATCCAAATTGTTTCTGTATTACGCTGTTTTTATTTCCTTATTTATTTCACACTTCAGATTATCCCTGACATAAATTGCTACTCCGCCTTCTTTCCTAATCTGCCTATCGGTATGGAATAATTTGTAACCTGCAATTTGGTATTCGACAGGTAACTCACGTGAGTCTAGGTTGATCCATGTTTCAGTGAATGCTATTGTATCGATTTTTTCGGTACATACCAAGGCCCTAATATCATCCATTTTGTTTCTCATAGTTCTACTGTTCGCGTAGTAGACAATTAAGTTAGTCGTGTAGTAAGAGGTCACTATATATCATCGACTTTATTCACTTCATCCTCACGCCATAACTCGCTTACGACAGCTTTACGGGGTACCATCACTTGGCATGTCACTCGCTACTAAGTTGAGTTCTCTGTTGTCACTTGTAAATAATGACAGGATGTTACTGTGTGTTATTTGGTGGGTGACCGTGGGGAGGTTGGGGGGGGGGAAGGAGCGAGAGCCGAACAAACACCAGTTCATACACTAGTAATGCAAGGTGTGAGCCCATACTCTATAACGGCAACTTGGTATTGTTTGGCTGGCAGGTACATACACTGTTATATATCTCCACACCTCAACACCCTGTGAGTAATGCTCTTTGTGCCGTCGCTCTCTGGCCAGTGTGATGTATAGGGTCAGATTCCACAGTAATTTGGGGTGAAAACTGACTGTATTCTGTTACAATACCGTATATACCCATATAGCTACAACTGTGGGTAAATATCCGTGACTGCACTGATATATACAACTCTTACACATAATATTGAGTGTTTTCCTTCACGTGTTGACTCACCCTCGTCTTCCGGCAGAGGTGGGCCTCGTCAACACTCACTTCACGGATCGGTAGGCGGCGCCAGGCAATAATGTAAATTCAGTAACATTATTGTCATCACTGGACCAAGGTCTCCCACATACTTCTCTTCCCATAACCTTCTGCTCACTTCGTCTGTTCATCAAATAGTTGTTCATTTTTGTACAGCGGGAAACAGGAGGGAGGGTCTTCTCTCATCTGGTGGGGTACAGCCGAGGTTCTTCTAGTTTGGTGTTAATCTGTTTTCTTGCAACATGGCCGAAAGGCATTTAAATGAACACGGTATATTTTCTTCGGCACCTGTATAAATGTTTATTTTCGTCAGAGTTGTGTGTGTGTGTGTGTGTGT